ACTTGGAAGGCTGAGGCGGAAGGATCGCCGGAGCCCAGCAGGTCAAGGCTGTGGTGGCCCAGAGCGTGCTATTGCACTCCAGTCTGGGCGACTGAGTGGGACTCCAACTCAAAAAAAAAAAAGAAGGGAGATCTGTATAGAGAGCAGTATTTTAACCAACTAGCTCAAATGAATACAAACATTGTCATTTTCTTCCTCTCCTTCAGTATCTTCGAAAATTGGAAACTAGAAATTGGCTGTCAATTCATTAAGATTTACTGAATCATCATATATTTATTGCAAGCACATTAAGGGACAGACAGGGAAATTTTATGTCCTGAACCCAAATAATGTAGATATTCTTGTTAAAAGCTAAATAACTGATTTAAGTAGTACTTCAGAACAACATTGGCAAGTCATAAAGAAGTGCAAAATTAATTTGAATGTTTTGGGTATAGTAATCGTGGTAGTTCAGATGAGGAATATAGTAGCCTGACAAACATTTATAAAGAAAAGAGAATTTAGTTGCACGACATAGGGGAAAGAGCCCTGTATTTCGAGGTTTGGTTGCACTGCTTACAGTTATGTGATCTTCAGATAAGTACTTAAAACCTCATTTATATTGTACACCTCCCTGGCTTGCTATAATATTCAGATGCTTTTTTGTGTATTTGAGAATCACTGGTAACTTACTTAACATGTGTTTGTAGTGCTGTGTCTTGGAGATGACGTTAGCAAAAGTATGGAAGTGTAAAGTATAAATATTCATTACAGTGAATTAGTTTAATAGTTGAGGATATATAATAGACTTTAGTGGGAGTTGTAAAAATCAGTGTAGGGTAGAGATCTTGTGTGTTAGGTTATAAAAATTTAAACTGTTGCAAGATTTTGAACAGGGAGAGGAGAAAACTAGCAGACTCCTGTGCATTTAATTTTCAAAATAACTCTCAGAAAATGGAGTCACAAAGTAAGCAAACTAGTCCAAGTCCATACTTTTTAAAATTTAATTTAGTTTTATTTTAAATTTGTGGGGTACAAGTCAGGATTGTGTACCAAGTCCATAGTTTGATAGTGGCAGTCCTGGATTTGAACATAGGTCTCTTTGGCTGCTTCCTCTCAAGGAGTTTGTCAACAGATTTGGGCATTGGTTTGTTTGATTGCTTAAGTCAGAGCCTCACTCTGTTGCCCAGGCTGGAGTACAGTGGCGTGATCATGACTCACCACAGCCTTGACCTTCTAGGCTCAAGCAGTCCACCTGCCTCAGCCTCCCAAGTAATTGGAACTGCAGATACACACCACTATGCCTGACTAATTTCGCTGATTTTTTTGTAGACACGAGGTCTTACTATGTTGCCTAGGCTGGTCTTGAACTCCTGGGTTCAAGCAATCCTCCTATAAGTATTGGGATTATAGAGGTGAGCCACTACACCTGGCCTGGCTTGTTTATTTATTTTTAAAAACTTTTTACTGTAGAAAATTTTAAACATAAAAGAAGATAAAGTATTATGATGAACCCCCATGTGCCCTTTACTCAGCTTCAAATATTTCAACACAGTTAAGTTGTATAGCTGTAACCTTATGCTCCCTCTCCTCCCACTGTGATGTTGAAGCAAATTCCAGACATTCTTTAATTTAATCCCTAAAAACTTTTAGTATATATCTCTAAAAAATTTTACCATGTGTCAAAAAAAAGTAACCATAATTTTTTAAAACAGTTCGGTATATTTGAATCAAGACCCAACTAAGAATCATGCATTTTATTTGTTCACTATGACTCTTAGCCTGTAGATTTCTCCCTTCTTTTCCTTTGTAATTTATTTCCTTTTTTTTTTTTTGAGTTGGCATATTACTCTGTCACCCAGGTTGGAGTGCAGTAACACATTCACAGCTATCACAGCCTCAACCTGCTAGGCTTAGGCAATCATTCCACCTCAGCCTTCCAAGTAATTGGAACTACAGGCACGTGCCACCATGCCTTGGTTATTTTTTTTTTTTATTTATTGTAGAGACAGGGCCTCGCCAGGTTGCCCAGGCTGGTCTTGAACCCCTGGGCTCAGGCAGTCCTCTCACCTCCGCCTTCTAAAGTGCTGGAATTATAGGCATGAGCCATCACACCTGGCTGTCATTTATTTCTGAAGAGAAGTAGATTGTCCTGTAGAATTTTCCACATTCTGGATTGTACTGAGTAGTGTTCTTTTACTATGTTTCCCTGGAGTTCTCAATTTTTTGGTTTCAGGATCCTTTTACAAATATATACCTCCTCGTTTTATTTCTGTGAATTGTATCTGGCAGTATTTACCACATTAGGAATCAAAACAAAAGGTCTGGCACCTTCCAGCCTGGGCAACAGAGTAAGACCTTGTCTTAAAAAGAAAAAATTTAAACAGAAACCTTATTAATATTTGAGTCAGAGTCTCACTTTGTCTTCCAAGCTGGAGTGTGATGGCATGATCTCGGCTCACCATGGCCTCGACTTCCTGGACTCTGACATTCCTTCCGCCTCAGCTGCCTAAGTAGCTGGGACTACAGGCAAGTGCCACCACAGCTGGATAATTTTTATTTTTTGTAGAGATGAGGTCTCACCATGTTGCCCAGGCTGGTCTCAACCTCCTGGCCTCCAGCAGTCCTTCTGCCTCAGCCTATCAAAGAACGGGGATTACAGGCTTGAGCTATCACTCCTGGCCTAAAACAACTTAAATTTAAATTAGAAGTTAAAGCTAAGAATATTTTAAAAATTGTCTTATAGCCGGGCTCGGTGGCTCAGCCTGTAATCCCGCACCTTTGGGAGGCTGAGGTTAGTGGATTGCCTGAGCCTGCAGGTTCGAGACCCGCCTGGGCAGTGAGACCTCATCTCTACAATAAATCAAAAAAAAAATCAGCCGGGTGTGGTAGTGCATGCCTGTAATTCTGGCTACTCGGAAGACTGAGGTGGAAGGATTGCCGGAGTCCTTCCGGCGAGGCTGTGGTGGCCGGGAGCGGCCACTGCACTCCAGTCTGGGTGACAGAGTGAGACTCCAACTCAAAAATAAATAAATAAATAAAATAAATTGTCTTATTAATTCATTAGAAAATAGCAGAAATAGACACATTAATCTTTCTCCCGTTTGCCCAGACCAGTATTCGTTCCCTTTAGCCCTTTAAGTATGGTCAGTTATCAAGACTAACCTATTCTCTGCAATTTCTCAAATCTGTTTGCTTTTCTGTGCCACTGCCACTATTTGAGGTAGAAGCTGTTTCCAGGATTACTGAAGCACTTCCTCTTGTCTTGCTCATTCATTATACCAGCTCTAGTAATTGTTTCAAAGTGCCAGTCTACTTTAAGGCAGAATCCCTTTTACCTTCCTTCCTTCCTCCCTTCTGCTTTCAGACTCTACTGAACTACTTGCTGTTTCCTGACCTCACATGCTGTCTTGCCTCTTGGCATTCTCACTGCTCCTGCTCTTGCTCATGGCCCAAATGGCAATTGGATATCCCAGGAATAGGTCAGGTAGCTTCTCTTTTGTACTCTCAGCATCCCAGACTTTTCTTTTTACAGCTTTTCTGATCTCTTCTTCACTAAATTGGATTTCCTCCAGGGCAGAGTCAGTTATGGTTCACCTTTGTGTGTGTTCTGTGATCAGGAAATGCTAGTGCCAGCGGGGTGGCCTCCCTTTCCACGCCCTTCCCTCTGGCATGTTATTAAGCACCAGACTTAGTAGGCACATAATAGATACCCAGTAAATATTTGATGAGTGAATGGCCCTACTCCTAAATTGTTGTAGGTCTTCTGTAAGCACAGAGCTGTGGAAAATGGGATCTTCAACAGGCTTTTGAATTCACCTGGAACAGCTTTTCTGCCCATTGGGTTGGAGCAGATGGGAACTGACACTTGGCTGCCAAACTGCTGAAGTGGCTCTTCTTCAGTGCTCTGTGAGAATGGTTGTAGTCCCTAGCTCAAATGTCACAGCTTCCCACTTTCCTTACCAAGGTTCTGCAAATTTTGTTACGTGAATATATCTCATGTTGTCAGCCCTTTGATCACTCTCCAGAGCCTTTCGATGATTATGTTAATTTTGACCAGCTTAATGAATGACTCTGGGAGAAAGGTTTCCCCAAGTTTCTCACACTGCCATTCTGGAAATCCTGCCTCTTGTCATTTGTTTTAAAGCCAGAACAATAATAATTATTATTATTAATTTTTAAAAAATATGGAATGCATCACGAATTTGCGTGTCATTGTTGCACAGGGGCCATGCTAATCTTCTCTGTGTTATTCCAATTTAGTATATGTGTTGCCGGAGTGAGCACTATTATTATTTTTTGAGTCAGGGTCTCACTCTGTCGCCCAACCTGGAGAGCAGTGACACAATCACAGCTCACTGCAGCCTCAACCTCCTGGGCTCAGGTGATTCTTTCACCTCAGCCTCTCAAGTAGCTGGGACTACAGGGGAGCATCACCACACCTGAATAATTTTTTATTTTTTTCTAGAGGTGAGATCTCACTATGCCGTCTAGTCTGGTGTCAAACTCCTGGGCCTAAGTAATCCTCCCGCATCAGCCTCCCAAAGTTACAGTCATGAACCACCACTCCCAGCCCAAACCAAAATTATTTGATACCAGTTCATCCCTAGATTTACTTTAACACATAAGTATTTTAAGCTATAATGTAATGTTTTTAAAATGGCTTCTGAAACATAAGAGCCTGTCCTTTACAATAAATATCATTTTAGGATCCTTGATACTTTCTTTTCCTTAATGCTTTAAACTAGATTTGCTAATGGTCGTTCTACTGGACTGATTTTGGACAGTGGTGCCACTCATACCACTGCGATACCAGTCCATGATGGCTATGTCCTTCAACAAGGTAACTGTATTTAAACAGATCATTTTAGACGTCATGAGGACACAAATAACGAAATAAAACAATGAATTGCACTATTAAATCATGTCAGTTTCCAAACAGTGTCTTTTATTAAGAGTGTTTTTTTAATCTTTTATATATAATGTGTATTTAAAACTGATACATGACTTTATGCTTTCAAGGATAGTTCAGTTAATTCTACCTGAAATAATTGTTCTTCTAAACACACTCACAGGAAATTTGTCCCAAGAAGTTTGAACTTAATGCTCTCAGACTTGTTAAATCTATTTTATAGGCATTGTGAAATCCCCTCTTGCTGGAGACTTTATTACTATGCAGTGCAGAGAACTGTTCCAAGAAATGAATATAGAATTGATTCCTCCGTATATGATTGCATCAAAAGTAAGTAATTGAGTTTTCTGTGTGGAACTTTCTCCAACTCCCCACCCTATGCCGTGAACTCTCTTAATCTAGCACATGTTCTTGGCAATCTCAGGAAGCTGTGCGTGAAGGATCTCCAGCAAACTGGAAAAGAAAAGAGAAGTTGCCACAGGTTACGAGGTCTTGGCACAATTACATGTGTAATGTAAGTAGCCATATTCTCTCTTGCAAAAATGCTAAAGCTTTTTACGTGAGTACTTTAAAAAATGTTATACAGACTGTGAGTCCTTGAGTAGAATATGGACACTACATTTTCTTCTTTTTTTTGAGTTGGAATCTCACTCTGTGGCCCAGGCTGGAGTGCAGTGGCACACTCACAGCCACCACAACCTCTACCTGCTGGGTTCAGGCGATCCTTCCGACTCAGCCTTCCAAATAACTAGAACTATAGGCGTGTACCACCATACAGCTAATTTTTTGATTTATTGTAGAGACGATGTCTCACCAAGTTGCCCAGGCTGGTCTCAAACCCCTGAGCTCAGGTAATCCTCTCACCTTGTCTTTCTAAAGTGCTGGGATTACAGGTTTGAGCCACCGTGCCTGGCCAACACTTTATATTTTCAAGCATATGCATTTGTGTGCGTACTCGCTCTCTCTCCATATATATGTAAACTTTTTAAAACATATATTTTATATATATATATATTTCTAAGAGCCAAGGTCTCATTCTGTCACCCAGGCTAAAGTGACACAGATCATAGCTCATTGTACCCTTGAACTCCTGACCTCAAAGCATTTCTCCCCTCTCAACCTCTCAAAGTGCTGTGATTACAGGCGTGAGCCACCATGCCCAGCCTTAAGCTCTGTATTTTTAATAATGCTTTAATAAGAGCATTGGGAGGAGGGGCATGTTTTTCATATTTGCCAAGCCGATACCTTTATGAACTGCAGCATATTCATTTTTATTACTGTGGTGAGACCTGGAAGAAATTTGATTTTAGGGTAAAAACAAGCATTAAGTTTTTCTGAACATTTTGGCTGAGAAAATGATTTTAGTTTTTGTAGAGACCTGATAGTATATATCAGTTGTGTTCTGTTTCCCCAGCATGGCGTCAGATATATCAAAAATCTCTTATTGCCAGGTGTGGTGGCTCACACCTGTGTAGTAATCCAGCATTTTGAGAGGCAAAGACAAGAGGATTGCCGGAACCCAGGGGTTTGAAATCAGCCTGGGCAACTTAGTGAGAAACAAATTAGCTGGGCATGGTGGCACATGCCTGTGGTTCTAGCTACTTGGAAAGCTGAGGCAGAAGGATCTCCTGAACCCAGCAGGTCAGGGCTGCAGCAGCTGTGGATTGTGCTACTGCACTCCAGCCTGGGTGACAGAACGAGACTCTGACTCAAAAATAAACAAACAAATAGATACATAAAAATGTGTGTTATTGTCCATAGCAAGGTGCTAATGAGAGATTGTTTTTACTGAAAATCCACACCTGAACATACGGTTAATGATGAGGGAAAGATTGGTAAAACAACCTTTCATACCACAGTCCATGTTAATTTCTAACAGTAAAAGTATGTGAGAGTCATAACTTACTATGAGAGGGGTATATCCTCTCTGACAGTTTTTGCACCTAAAGATAAGGATGTTGTGTGTGTGTGTGTGTGTGTGTGTGTGTGTGTGTGTGTGTAAATATGGGGAAAAAAGGATGATTAATCATTTTGCGTAGATACTAGACGAGATTTTTCCTTAGCATTCTAGGGGTCATGTGTATCTCACAGCTAATTTTTTTAACATTTTATACTATGTGCAGTCATTAAAAGGTACATAAGATGTATATGCCTATGTGTTTATTCATGCAATTAAATTTTGCTTCTAACTCTAAGTTTATTTTTAAGGAAATGAATGGTGGTCTGAAATTGGTTTTGTTATGCAGGACTGTGGTACCAACTTTCCCAGATGTTTTTCTCTCTCTTCACTATTCCATAACTGTAGCAATTTCATTGTATATAATATAGCTTCTAATGCAAATGTTTAGAATTGGGTTTCTTGATAATTGAGAGTCTTTGCTCAGTAGATTTATATTCTTGAAATGATTTACCCATTCAGAAGCATAGTGCAGTTTCATTCAGAAAAGTATTTTAAATGTTACAAAAGTACAGCTTATAAAGACAAATCTCAACTTTGTTTCTTAAACTTTTTTTTTATCCATAGTGTGTTATCCAGGATTTTCAAGCTTCAGTACTTCAAGTGTCAGATTCAACTTATGATGAACAGTATGTTTTCTTATTTAAATTATATACTTCATGAGGAAAGGATTTGTTTAGTAAAGAAAAAGAGTCAGCCAGGCACAGTGGCTCACACTTTGAGAGGTGGAGGTGAGAGGATTGCCTGAGCCCAAGGGTTTGAGACCAGGTGGGCAATTTGGCGAGACCTCGTCTATACAGTAAATCAAAAACTTAGCTGGATGTGGTGGTGCACACCTGTGGTTCCAGCTACTTGGAAAGCTGAGGTGGAAGGATCACCTGAGCACAACAGGTCGCGGCTGCGGTGGCTGTGAGCATGCCTCTGCACTTCAGCCCAGGTGATGGAGTGAGACTCCAACTCAAAAAAAAAAGAGTCATGGAATGTGCTTAAGTGGTCTAAAAGTACAAAGTTTTGCTAAGATATACTGAAGAATGTTTTAAAATAAAGTATTCTTACTCTGATTTCTTACAAGTTGGTAATTCCTTAGTAGTTGTTAATTTTGAGGATTGCTTTGCTTTTGTGTAACCCTGTTTAATACGTTTTCAGAGTAGCTGCACAGATGCCAACTGTCCATTACGAATTTCCCAATGGCTACAACTGTGATTTTGGGGCAGAACGGTTAAAGATTCCGGAAGGATTATTTGACCCTTCCAATGTCAAGGTATAAAAGCTTATTTCGTAATTAACCTGTCTTTTTCTGTATATGTAAAGTGCATGTAATTATAAGGTCTAAATAAGACTGCATTTTTTGGCTATGCTTTGCTGTGCGAAGTACCTCCATATGATTACTTGTTTTCTCTTGTTGTAGGGCTTATCAGGAAACACAATGTTAGGAGTCAGTCATGTTGTCACCACAAGTGTTGGAATGTGTGATATTGATATCAGACCAGTAAGTGCCAGTCTCTTATTGTGGTATAAAGGTATCTTTTAAGGCTTTGAAATGCCCCAAGATCATTGTTAGGTTGACAACTTTGGCCACTGACTTTGAAACCCATTTTATAGCAATATATATATAAAAAAGGGAACTACTAGAAAAGGAAAAATGCAAAACCCAGGAGCTGTGGTGTTCATTTTGGCAGCTACTGGCCACATGGGCAATTTAAATTAAATTAAAACATAAAATTCAGTTCTTCAGTTGTACTAGCCTTATTATAAATATGACTGGTGGCTACTATTTTGGACAGCACAGATATAAAACATTTCTATCTTTATAGAAAGTTCTTTTAGACAGTGCTGCCCTAGAGATTTTCTAAAGTATAGTAAAGCTAAATATGCATTATTGGTGACTTTCTTATATATAGTACAACTTATACTTTTAATTTTCAGTAAGGAATGGCTTAAGTTGCATGAGTAACTTTTGTGTGGAGTTTATCTTAGATGATCTTCATATTTTTGTGCTTTGTTGAGTTTTAAATGCTGGCTCCATGTTGTATACTATACTCACTATTAGATAGACTATACAGAAAGTCCTCATTTAATGGTTTTTGTGACTTTAAGTGAAACAGAGTACAGTAGGCCCTTGAGTAATGTTTCATGAAAAAAAAATTGCTTTTGTTGGTTGTTGTTTTGCTTAAAGATACAGTTTCCAAGGACCTTTGACAGTGCTTAGTGAGAACTTACTTTATCTTATTTAAACCCAGTTCCACTTATAGCCCATATACTGCCTTGATTCTCTTTAATTAATTTGCTTAAAGCATGGAACTAATAGCAAAGGGTATATAACAACTATGTTGTTCAAAAAGGCTTTTGAAGCCAGGCATGGTGGCTCACACCTGTAATCCCAGCACTTTGGGATGCTGAGATAGGAGGATCATCTGAAGCCAGGAATTCCAGTCTACCTTCATCACCATAGTGAGACCTCCATCTCTATTTAAAGTGGGTGCGTGTGTGCGTGCGTGCGTGTGCGCATGCGTGTATATATGTGGCTTTTGAGTGGCTGTGAAAATCATACTTTATTTCAACGGGTAACCTAGTAGGCATGTGCTGCTTCTGGGAATATAGGAATATAAGTTTGGGATTTTTTTAGTGCAGATCCAAGGCCAGTGATAAGTTTCTGTTTTTGGTGAAATTTCTCCTTTTAACAATGTTGGTTATTCCATTTTCTATTTCAAAATTTATATGATGCGGACCAAGCGCCTGCCCCAGGGAGGACCATGGACCAGTTCCTATTAGAAACTGGGCTGTAAGATCAACAGAGGCATTAGATTTCATAGGAGCACAAACCCTACTGTGAACTGCACATATGAGGGATCTAGGTTGAGCGCTCCTTATGAGAATCTGATGCCTGATGATCTGAGGTGGAGCTGAGGTGATGCTAGTGGTGGGGAGTGACTGCAAATTCAGATTCACATTAGCCATGAGGGGTTTTTTTTTTTTTTTGAGTCAGAGTCTCACTCTGTCCCCAGGCTGGAGAGCATTGGCACGCTTGTGGCTACCACAACCTCAGCCTATGGGGTTCAGGCAATCCTCCTGCTTCAGCCTTCCAAGCAGCAGCAACTACAGGCGTGTGCCATTGTGCCTGGCTAATTTTTAGATTTATTGTAGAGACGAGGTCTTGCCATGTTGCCCAGGCTGATCTTGAACCCGTGGGCTCAGGCAGTCCTCTTGCTTCTGCCTCCCAAAGTGCTGGGATTACAGGCGTGAATCACCATTGCTGGCAGCAGTGAGGTTTATCTGCACAGAGACCATAATAAATCAATTGCTTGCAGACTCATACCAAAACCATATCAGTGAGTGGCATGTTAAGCTGATGCACTTCAGTTGTACATCTGCATCTGGTGGCAGGCTTTAAGTCAGAATCTGACACTTACTTTAGCCCATGTGTGGCAAGTATGTTACATTTCATTATATATAGTTATTTCATTATATATTACAATGTAATAAAATAACAGAAATAAAATACACAATAAATGTTATGTGCTAGAATCATCTTGAAGCCATCCCTTCCCCCTAACTCCCACCCCTGCCCATGGAAAAATTGTCTTCCACGAAACCAGTTCCTGATGCCAAAAAGGACCACTGATTTAGACATTTATAATAAATTTGTTTAGGGTTTTTTTTTAGTCAGGGCCTACTCTTGCCTGGGTTGGAGTGCAGTGGCATGATTATGACTTAACGCAGCCCTGACCTAGGCTCAGACAATCCTAGATATGTGTGCAACTTTCAGTGGTACTGTGAAAAAGGTGATAATTGACAAAAGACCATTCACTTGTGCTTAATGACAGAAGTTTTCAGCAACCAGCTTCAGATTTTTTTATTTTCCCCTGCTGTCAGTATTTGGAAAGCGAAAAATTTGCTGGTCACAAATGTGTTAAAAGCTCCCCAGATGAGTCAAACGTACAACCAAGATGCAAACCCCTGGATTAAGCTACTAGATCTGTATAGCAACAAAACCTAAAAAAGAAAGGAAGGGAAAATTGTAGTGGAGGATATGTCGTTATTTGTAGCTGTCTGTTTTTAAAACTTCTGGAAACACTTAAGACTAAATTACTTTTCTTGACTTTTTATCCGAGGGGCTCTATGGCAGTGTGATAGTGGCAGGAGGAAACACACTGATACAGAGTTTTACTGACAGGTTGAACAGGGAGCTCTCGCAGAAAACTCCCCCGGTAAGTCCATGTGTTCTTCAGTCATACGTATCCTGATGGTGTAATCTTCTAGATAAGTGCTCATTTTTCCATAGATGACATTTTGTGTGTCCCTGGTACAGTATTATTTAAATAAAGTGAAACATAAATAAAATAAATAATGTGAATGTCTTTTATTAATCATATCTTTCTAGATGACATCTGTTGCTCTTGAATTATTTGAATCTCATTTTATTCATTAACTTCACACTTAAGTACCCATAGTCTGCTAGGCACTAGGGATACAAAATAGAGTCCTTGCCTATGAAGGTCTCAGTCTCCTAGGATATTAGACATGCAGAAAATGAAGATGTAGCGTGCTGAATGTCTCAGTAGGCCTTGACCAGGTACTGTTGGGAACATTGAGAAACAGCACTTAACTCTCCAGGAGGAGAGTGCTAGCCTCATGAAGAAGCGGTGTCTGAATGACTAGTTCAACTGGTTGCTAGTTTATGAAGGGACAGGCACTAGGCAGAGGGAGTAGCATGGGAAGAGGGCATGTTCCCTTAATTCACAGTATTTGGCTTAGTGCAGAAGTGGGGAAAGCAATGCATGACTTGATAAGGTGGATGGTGTGTGGGTTCCCTAGAGCTGCGCAACAAAGTATCACAAGTTCGTTGCTTAGGACAACAGAAACTTATGGTCTTGTAGTTTTTTGTTGTTTTTTTTTTCCCATAATCAATATTTTTTTATTATGGTTTTGTGGGGTACAGTTAAGGGTTAGGTGTACAATTACGTTTCATTCAGGCACCCTGTTGATAAGAGGTGTTTCCCCATCCCCAGACAGATATTTGCTACTGTTAATCCCATCTCCCTCCCCCCGCCATAGTTTCCTAATACCGTCATTTTCTTATAGTATTACATTGGATGTTCAAGGTCCATTATATGAGTGAGAACAAGTAGGTCATAAGAGAGAAGATAGACAAGTGGGACCTTGTTAAACTGACAAGCTTCTGCAAGGCCAAAGAAACCATCAAGACAGCAGGGAGACAGCCTACAGACTGGGAAAAAGTATTTGCCAACACCAGGTCTGACAAAGGCTTAACATCCTGGATCTACAAGGAACTCAAACGTGCTGAAAAGAAAAAAAAAAACAACCCCATTATAAAATGGGCAAAAGATATGAACAGACACTTCACAAAAGAGGACATCCGAGCAGTCTTGTAGTTCTTGAGGCTAGAAGTCTGAAGTCAGGGTGTCAGCAAGGCCATGCTCCCTCTGCATCTATGTGGGAGACTCCTTCCTCCCTCTTTGTAGCTCCTGGCATAGCAGCACCTGTTTAATTCTGAGAAGGACACTAGTCGTGGGATTAGGGACCCGCCCTACTCCAGCATGGCCTCATCTTTATATTTACATTATTCTGTAAAGACCCCATTTCCAAATTGGGTCACACTCACTTGTGTCAGGGGTAAGGACTTCATATCTTTTGGGGAACACAGTTCAGCCCACAACAGATAGGTACCAGGTCATGCCTTAGTAATGACCATTTTGGATTTTACTCTAAGATAACAGCAAAGTTACAGGGTAAAATCTGGCAAGGGACTGATGAGCTCATGTTTGTTTTAAAAAAGATCACTGAGTACATTGTGATAACTTTCAACAGGACAGACGAACCTTTAACCAGGCATGTTGGCGCATGTCTGGAGTCCCAGTTACTTTGGAGGCTGAGGCAGGGAGGATCACTTGAGCCCAGGTGTTTGACGCTATAGTGAGCCATGATCATGCCTGGGTGATAGAGTAAGACCTCTTCTCTTTAAAAAAGAAAAAGAATTAGAACCTGGTTTGGGGAGTTTATTTATTTGAGTCAAGTTCTCCCTCATGGCTCACTGCAGCCTTGGCTCGCTGGGCTCTGGCGATCCTTCTGCTTCAGCCTCCAGAGTAGCTGGGACTACAGGTATGCACCACCACACCCAGCTTATTTTATTTTATTTTTTGTAGAGATGAGGTCTTGCTGTGTTGCCTAGGCTGGAGCAAGTCATTCATATGATTCTTCAGTAACAGAAGGCTAGTCATAATCTTTTAATTTAAAAATTTTAACTTCTATGAAGTGATTTTTCATGAGTTGTTCTGCACTAAATGTTACATTTTAAAAAGTTTAGCAGGGGTTACATAGGCCCTAACAATATCTAGAGGTTTGTATATTTAATAGTCTTTTGGTTTCCCATAAAAAGGAATGTTTGACATATGCCACATTTTTATAATTAAAAATAGAATTTGAATATGTAGGCACAAGACTTAGATCCACCTTGCATCTCCAAATTCTTGAAGAAGCAGTCTGATACGGATCATTATCTGAATTATACTATTAATCATTAGGTTTTATTGAAACTCCCTAAATAATGAATACAGACATGGGTGGTCCAGGATCTGGTCAAGACCAGTTAGAGATTATCTTTGCCCTTAAGGGAGTAATTAAAAATTGTCAAGTAACAGGAAGAAAAATTTCATTGTAACAGGTATCAGTCTTACTTACCTACAAAAACCCTTGTTCACCTGTCCCCAGCACCCTCCACCCTCCCCTATTCCATGCTCTACCCTGCCACACGTTTATTTCACTGTGAAAGACTCAACCTATGTGTTCGTATACGGAATAATTGAAAGGTACCAACAATTTGAGAACTATCCTCAGAGGCAGACTCCTACCTAGGTAGGGGGCAAGAATCTCTGCTGTAGGAAGTGAAAAAGGGGATAGTAGTGAGCTATAAAATTATATCAAGAGAGAGTGTGAGTTCAAAACAGAAGTGCTAATTTGTAAGTAAAGCAGTATGAATAAAAAAACGTACCTGAGATCTGATGGCTGCATTTGAATTGACAAGGGTGGGGTAAACTGAGGAGGAGCTGGGATAGCATGAAGGCGCTTGGAAGGGGTGGACAGAAGCACTTAGACGGCTGCGGAGCACTGAAGAAAGGGAGGCAGACTGGGGAAGTAGGTACGTTTGGGGTCTGCTGAAACGAAGAAATACAGGAAGCACATAGCACAGTGCCCGATCTCTAGGTACTGTGCTAGGCATGGGTTTGCCATTTTAGGGTAGAAATAGTGAATTCTGTACTTTAGTATGCAGTTTTCTAAATTTTACATAATATATTGTCACATACTGCATGTCGAGTCATAATCAAAGAACTTTAAAAATCCCTTCTATATAAGAGTTTAACCTACACCTATTAGCCTATTTTGAAATGATCACGTTTAGCCAATCAGTGTTTGAACTACAGAGCCATTAAGAAGTCTGTCAAAATTGACTTTCCTCCATTGCCACAAGTTTTGGTTGTACTAATGCATATTCTTCCCTCTGTTTTAGAGTATGCGGTTGAAATTGATTGCAAATAACACAACAGTGGAACGGAGGTTTAGCTCATGGATTGGTGGCTCCATTCTAGCTTCTCTGGTTAGTAGCTCCTTTGCAAAAATAAAGATTCTTACTGACTTATACTCAATTTAGTAAAAATACTCAAGATAATCCTAGCACTTCATTTATCTTTACATCTTACAACTGTTAAGTAAGTGAAGGACCTAATAAGAATTACCAGTCTCATATGTTCTAATATGACAAAATCCCTCCTTGCTTTATTAAGACATTTGTGAGCCTAATTTCAGTTTCCCTCTCAGAGGTGGAAATATGTTAATGTATGTATGCATCCTCTAGTAATACCCACATTGGCACTTGTCAGGACTTGTCTGCAGTGCCCTCACAAATAAATCATTCCTCCTCAAGTTCTGGTTGTTTCCTGGTGTGTTGGTGAGGTATCAGAAGACAGACAGGAATTGGTTATTGGGACAAATGGTGACGTCATGTTGCTTGGACTAGCGTCTGCCTTGACTAAAGAAAAAACGTCCTTGTACTTTTCTGCACTCCAGATTTAGAGTATTTCCCGTTTGATCTCAGAGCAGCCAAAATAAGTGTCACTAAGTATTCCATCAAACCTTTTGACAGTTTGTTATTACCTTAGATTGGCACCAAACCATCATAGCCAAGCCCCCAGTCTTCCTTGCCAACCATTTTCTAAATCCTATACAGTATAGCAAGTATAAAAGGATTTAATATTCTTCTAACCTTAAAGGCAAGGCTAATTAGTATCTTTAGATGGTTCTAGAGGAGGGCAGAAATAAGAAAATAATAATGGAGTGCTGTTTTGGGAGAAGGGATCCCTAAATGAATTCTTCAAAGCATAAGAGTTGTGAAAATAAAATCAAAGAAAAAGTTATTTTCTGACAAGTAAGGCATGATTATATTTCTCTCCGCTTACAGGGTACCTTTCAACAGATGTGGATTTCAAAACAAGAATATGAAGAAGGAGGGAAGCAGTGTGTGGAGAGGAAATGCCCCTGAAAGAGTTCCCAAGCCTCTACCTTCCTCCCCACCTTACGTTTCATAGCTTTAGTATACTCAGGAAAAGGATGACCATCTTTTGTAGAATGTTTATACGTTTTTGCATATTTCAATTTCCACTTAAATTTTTTAAGGCTTTAACTGGCTCTATAAATTAAAATAAGTTTGTGCTTTCCTTGAAATACACTTATTCTTATTACAAGCATTTTATAATTTTATATAAATGTCTATTTTCTCTAAATATTTTGCTTTCAGTAAAATACTTTCCAACTCTGTTTAGTATATTAATTACCAGTGAATTGGTAGAACTGCTTTTATTGACTAGTAAAAGTTACTGCCTATGCTTTTTACTTTAGGCTTACAAATTAAATAAAAATTCCTAGCCATTCCAGAAATATTTTTTAGACTGTTGTGTGTTGTGATCGACTTGCTATTTTAAGTACTAATTGTACGTATTATTTTGAGTGAAAGTACTGACTGTTTATTAACAGTAGTATCCACATCTTCATATCCTGTTAACACCAGAGGTAAAACTGTTACCTGGATTTCAAGAACTACCTTCTTATCTGTTATATCAGTTAACTCATTCACTACTGCTGATGTGAATTTACGTCATTCCAAAATCTGTTCCTGGTTGCCGCTGATGTGAATTTACCTCATTGTGAAAGGCTGTCTTTTTGGGTTTATAATCCGAATCAAAATACACAGTTCAGAGTGGTATCTGAGCCAAATACTGGATATGTCTGCAACTTGCAGTTGTATTGTGAAAAAGATGACAATTTAGAAAACACTATTTCACTTGTGCTTAACGACAGAAGTTTGCAGCAACCAGCTTTAGATTTTTTTTTGAGTTGGAGTCTCTTTGTCACCCAGGCTGGAATGCAGTGACACGTTCATGGCCACTGCAGCCTTGACCTGCTGGGCTCAGGCAGTCTTCTGCCTCAGCCTTCCAAGTAACTGGAACTACAGACGCACGCCACCACACCTGGCTATAGATTTTTTTTTTTTTTAATTTTCACCTGCTCTCAGTATTAGGAAAGTGAAAAATCTGCTGGTCACGAATGTGTTAACATCACTTTCACACTTTATATAAGACAGGTAACATTCAAGCCTGCTTCAGAATTTTATATCTGAATTTATACCTGATTTTTTACAAGTTTGGTAGAAGCATGACCACTTCCAGAACTAGCACATCATATTAACACTTAGAACAACTGACTACAAGTAAAGTCATTTGACTAAAAGCACAATTTCTTTACAAACCACATAACATACATTTATTTTAAAATATAGACTATTACGCATGATAAACAAAATGATACATTAAGAATTCAAACATCTTAGGCAAGACTTGACTTCTGAGCTTCAGAAAGATGTGGGAACTTCTCTTGAAGAAATTTTTCTTTCTTTTTCTCTAAACTTTTCTTTCTTGCTGTAATACGGGCTTGTTTCTCATATCTCAGTCTAGAATAATAAAGCAAAACAACAATTTATATGAAAGTGTTTCCCTTTAACTTAAAACTATCAAGACATATACATCCATTATATCAAAGCCTCAAACATACCAGTCTCTGTATTTGGTGTATTATAGCTATTATGAAACTTGAATGACAATCACTGTGAACCAACACAAGTTGAGATAAATGTGAAGTCAAAAGCATCCGAAGCCTAATACCAGGTATTCTCATTTCCTGACTGAAAAGAATATTCAGATCTTAGAAGCCTGTAACAGTGCCTGAAGTTCAATTCTGATATGACTTAAAGTTATCAAAATTACCTTATTTTAGAAACACTATACTTTTATTGAGTACATTAGATTCTTGACATTCTGAAACTTGTGTGAATTCCCTCCTTTCAAATAGTACTCAAGTCTGTCATTTCCCCTACACACAGAGAACAAGGCCCTGCTAGGAGATGATGCTTAGTCACTGGTTAGACTTTCTGCTCTCTAAATGAGTCTGTTCTCACACATCAACATCAATGTGCCAGGGCATGAGGTGTTTGTGTCTTAGCTAAATGATGTTGACCTGAAGGGTCAACCTAGGAGTCATCAAAATTGAAAAATTCATGATGCTAAGCTTCTTCTGTACTAACACTGATATTTTACAGGATATTTTACTGATCAATAGAAATAAGTTTACATAAAATACAACAAAATTAAGTGACATGTACTGCTGAAGTTAAGTGAAGACAAGAATAAGCGCATATATACAAAATACATATAAAGACTAAATTATCCATTCTATTTGTCAATTTTTGCTCCAACTAAATTTTGGCAAGTTACAAAAAAACCCATCTGTAAGAATAAAGTTTTTCTTGTTTTGAGTCGAGGTCTCACGGTGTCACCCTCACATGACCTACTATAGCCTTGATCTATGCTTTGGCAATCCTTCCGCCTTCGTCTCCTGAGTATCTGGAAATACACACACCACCATGCCTGGCTAATGTTTTGTAAAGATGAATTCTTGCTATGCTGCCCAGGCTGATCTTAAACTCCTGGGCTCAAGTAAAAGTAATCCTCCCACTTCAGCCTCCCAGTGCTGGGAATACAGGTGTGAGACACCATGCCTGACACATTCTTCAGAATATTCAGATTATGCTACATTCTCTGAAGGTAAAGGTTAAAAAACAGTTTCAAACATAAAATAATTAGAATATGCATAAAACCTTGAAAAGTGATAGTGGATTGATAAATTGTCATACTTTATTTTAAAAGTCATGGGGAATTCCAAGAGACAATGGAGTTACAGTGTGTGAGTCTCCACATCAGTGAGACTGCACCCGGACAAATATGCATGCAAGTGTGTGGGCAAGTGGGCGTGTGAGGGAGTGAGGATGTGGGGACAAGCAGCCTGAGTTCTCCTGCTGAGGCAGCTGTCCCGCTCAGCCACTCGAATCTCAGCGCAATCCACGGCCCAGAGGCAGATACCATCACTAGAACCCTACACCTAGAGGAAAGTGGTAAAAAATAGCCGCCGCTGGCACTGCCCACCACCACAGCCTTTGGTGCCAGATCAGACGTTGGCAGCCAGGACCACGGAGAAAATACACTGGAGGAACTAGTCTCGGGGAAGGACAAGAGGCAGAGCTATCCCCACTCGAGTGGAGACAGGCTCTGGCCTGCCCATATCAACAGCAGAGCTACTCCCTGAGACTGAGGGGTGAATTCAGCACCTCTGTGAGGTTGATCATTTCCAGCCCAGAGAGAATACCACAGGTGCAGTATCTCCAGAGGGACAGGCCCGTCAGGGAGACCCAGGCACCTCTTCCCCCTAACTGGAAGATCTGTGGGTCTACGGCTGCAACCAGAGATGAAAAACACAGGCCACAGTGGATGAGTGGGGGTGAGTTTTAGACTGACCCAGCTCCCTTCCCTCAGCAACTTGCGAAGCGCATGACCCAGGCATCCTGATTAGCACACGCAGAGAAGGCTGAACACAGGAGGGTTTGCTGGGGGCAATTTGTAGCCTCTCCCTGACCACACTGTCAGCAGGGGGACAGATCTAGAGATCAGAGCCCCTCCATCCTCTGCCTCAAGCCAAGAGTAGCAGTGCTTCAGTCACACCAACAAAGAATCTGAAGTTTCAGAAACTGCCACAAGAGGGTGCTCAAGGATTACAAAAGGCTTTTTTTTTGGTTGTTTTTCCCTGCACTCCCTCTATATTTTGCTGTGTGGGTGTATATTTAATTTTGTTTTATCCCTTCTCCTCCTTTTTTTCACATAAAGGTATATGTGAGTGAAAATGTCCTCATATTGTCAGTTTTCGTTTTTTTTCCCCTTTTTTACTGGTTTGTTTTCCTTCTCCGTTCTCTTTATTGGCCTTTCTTCTCCCTTCTCTCTTTCTCAATTCATTTTCTTCCCCTTATGTTATTTTGTTGCCAGGGGATATACATATGTTCCCATTGCATGGACACACTACTGTGAGGTGGTGGGAAGTCGGGCCCAAGGGACCCACACTCCGGTCAGCAAACACTGTGATCTGCAGGCAGTTTTTGAATCTTAGTACACCCCCAGACACACCTTATTCAAATCTCAAAGCTGCAAAAGGACAGCACAGCTCCCCGCCCCCAACTTGGCTTCAAAATCAAACAATTCCTATGGCTTTACCAAAGGCAGAATAGGGGGATGAAAAAACACAGGTAGCCCAGAGACCTCTGGAAATATGGCCGGAGAATACAGACTGTAGAACTCAAACAATGAAGAGTGCCCAGACTGACTGGTCTCAGATAACAAATGCAGAGATCAAAGAATGGTTAGAAAAGATGACTAAAAACCAAGAAGGGCAAGACGAAAACATGAAAGAATTAATTACAGAGATGCAAACCATAAAGAATACAATCAATGAAATAAATAACAAACTGAAAAGCATGGAAAGCAAAATTAACCAAACAGAAGAAAGAATCTCCGAGCTTGAATATGGAACTAACCCAATCTGTTAAAAACGTAGAAAGGAAGCTTAAAAAGATGGAACAAAGCCTTCAAATGACGTGCAATTATATTTAGAGGCCAAACTTATACCTGAACCATACCTTTGAAGCAGAAAAGGGGAATGAGAGCACCCTGAAATAAACATTCCATGAGGTCATCCAAGAAAACTTCCCACATCTCATTAGAGATGAGACTATCCAAACACAAGAGATTTAGAAAAACCCCTGCAAGGCATCAAATGAGAAGACCAACTCCTAGACACAAAGTAATTTGCTTACATAAAGTATGCATAAAAGAAAAAATCCTAAAGGCGGCAAAAGAAAAAGGTCAGACTACCTACCATGGAAGACCAATTAGAATAGCAACAGACTTGGCTACAAAACCACTATAGGCTAGAAGAGAATGGAGTCCAATCTTCAAAGTTCTCAAAGATAAACAATTCCAACCAAGAATTTCCTACCCAGCTAAACTAAGCCTCATCAGAGGTGGACAATTAAAATCCTTCCCAGAAATTCAATCCTTAAGAGTTTATGATGCCTCCAGACAGCTCTACAGGAGACACTTAAGAAGGTATTAAGCACAGAAGAAAAAAAAGAATGACACACACTTCCCAAGAATGCAGGAAAACAGAGAATCAGCACAGCATGCACTGACTGCAAAATTGAAAACACCCATATAGCAACCAAAAATCAAAAGAAAACTCACAAATAAACAACAACAAAAAGACTTTATGAGTCTCATGACAGGGACAAACTCTCACATCACAATAATCAGCTTGAATGTAAATGGATTAAATGCACCATTGAAAAGACATAGAATGACAAACTGGATTAAAAACAAAAACAAAAACATGACCCAACAATATGCTGCCTCCAGGAAACACATCTCACTACAAAGGGCACTCACAGACTCAAAGTTAGATGGAAAACAAATTTTCAGGCAAACAAATCACAAAAGAAGGCAGGAGTTGCAATCTTAATATCAGACAAAAAACCCTTAAACTATCAAAACTTTTAAAAAGATACAGAAGGACACTACATAATGATAAAAGTTTCAATCCATCAACAAGAAATATCCATCCTAAACATGTTATGCACCCAATACAGGAGCACCAGCTTTTATAAAGCAGCTACTAAGTAAATGAAAACAAGATATTGACTCTAACATTATTATAGCTGGGAACTTAAATATCCCACTAACAACCCTAGATAAATCATTGAGGAAAATAAATCAACAAGGAGATCTGGACCCTCAATGTGACATTTGACCAAATGGATTTAACAGATACTATAGAACGCTCCACCCAACAACCACAGAATATACATGTTACTCATCACCACCTGGAACATACTCCAAGACTGACCACATACTTGGCTATAAATCAAGCATAAATGGATTTATCATAAGATCAAAATACCACTATTCACCTTCTCAGACCACAGTGAAAGAAAAATAAATATCACCACCAACAAAATTCCTCCAAAACCCACAGACATGGACCCTAAACAACATAATGCTGCACAACTCCTAGGTTAACACAGAAAACAAAACAGAAATTAAAAGATTCCTGAAAACAGATGAAAACAAAGAAATATCTTACCAAAACTTCTGGGAAGCCATAGAATCAGTACAATGAGGGGAATTTATATCTCTATGAGCACACATCAAGAAAATAGAAAGATCACAAGTTAACAGCCTAACAAATCACCCAAGGGAGCTGGAAAGGCAAGACCATCAAAACCCTAATTTCAGAAGAATCTAGACCACCAAAGCAAAAAGCCCAAATACAGGATATAGAAGAAAAAATATCATAAAAAAAGAATCAATGGGCCAGGTTCAATGGCTCAGCCCGTAATCCCAGCACTTTGGGAGGCCAAGACAAGTGGATTGCCTTTGCCCGTGGGTTCAAGACCAGCCCAGGCAACTTGGTGAGGCTTCATCTCTACAATAAATCAAAAATTAGCTGGGTGTGGTAGTGCATGCCTGTAGTTCCAGCTACTTGGAGGGCTGAGGTGGAAGGATTGCTGGAGCTCAG